AAGATAAAAGAAGTAAAAAAAAAAAAAATCCTATTTTAACATCAAACAAATATCTTATTCACCAAACTCTCATTTCATCCATCTTCTTCATTTCTTGATCAAGAAGACATTACTATTTAATTCATCATCCATTCTGAGATGTTAGTTATTACGAATTGTTTATATTTTTATCGAATAACTTACCCTTTTTTAAATATTAAAAACAACATGATCATCAAAGTGATATCTAACTTATCCTTCATGTCCCCTTTTTATGAGCATTTAATGCTAGCTTTTCAATCTAATTAATTTTATGATTTGATTAGCTAAATTTATATATTATAATCATGTATATATTGTATAATATGAATTTACTTAAAAAAAAGGAAGATAAAAGAAGTAAAAAAAAAAAAAAAATCCTATTTTAACATCAAACAAGTATCTTATTCACCAAACTCTCATTTCATCCGTCTTCTTCATTCCTTGATCAAGAAGACATTACTATTTAATTCATCATCCATTCTGAGAGGTTAGTTATTACGAATTGTTTATATTTTTATCGAATAACTTACCCTTTTTTAAATATTAAAAACAACATGATCATCAAAGTGATGTCTAACTTATCCTTCATGTCCCCTTTTTATGAGCATTTAATGCTAGCTTTTCAACCTAATTAATTTTATGATTTGATTAGCTAAATTTATATATTATAATCATGTATATATTGTATAATATGAATTTACTTAAAAAAAAAGGAAGATAAAAGAAGTAAAAAAAAAAAAATCCTATTTTAACATCAAACAAATATCTTATTCACCAAACTCTCATTTCATCCATCTTCTTCATTCCTTGATCAAGAAGACATTACTATTTAATTCATCATCCATTCTGAGAGGTTAGTTATTACGAATTGTTTATATTTTTATCGAATAACTTACCCTTTTTTAAATATTAAAATCAACATGATCATCAAAGTGATGTCCAACTTACCCTTCATGTCCCATTTTTATGAGCATTTAATGCTAGCTTTTCAATCCAATTAATTTTATGATTTGATTAGTTAAATTTATATATTATAATAATATATATATTGTATAATATGAATTTACTTAAAAAAAAAAGATAAAAGAAGTAAAAAAAATCCTATTTTAACATCAAATAAATATCTTCTTCAACAAACTCTCATTTCATCCATCTTCTTCATTCCTTGATCAAGAAGACATTACTATTTAATTCATCATCCATTTTGAGAGGTTAGTTATTACGAATTGTTTATATTTTTATCGAATAACTTACCCTTTTTTAAATATTAAAAACAAAATGATCATCAAAGTGAAGAATACTTTTGAAACTCTTATTAATTATGATGCTCTTGATTTTTGAATATTTTTGAAGGGAAAAGATACAAAAAAGAAATCCCAAAAAGATTTAGGCAAATTTTAAGTATTACATTCCATATTTAATGAAGCATTCAGTCATTTATTTTTGGAAAGAAGTTGTGATGATGTAGTTGTTATAGTTGAGAATTAATTATAACCATTAATGTTTCCAAAAAGGTACCAAACACGTCTGAAGTTTCTCGACAGTTTCATAATTGAACTGTCGAACTCGACATTTAGAAACGTCGAGATAAATAATTTAACTAGTTGGATTCAACCATTCATTTCACCTTTTGTCATTGAATGGATTTAAATATTCAAAAGTGTCACTTTCATACTATTAAATGTCAATACATTGATTGTGCAAAGTTCTTACTGTTGCAATACCAACTTTTCATGTATTAATAATCATTTGAGATTCATCGTGCATATGGACGAAAGTTTGTTTATATAGATGATGAATGGAAGTGAAGAGTGGACAAAACCACTTTCGTTTTAGTTCCGACAAGTATTACCTATGCACTCGTTATGGTAGAGTTGACAAAAATCGGACCACGTGTTCCAACCCCATTCTAATACCACTAATGTAAATAGGCTTGATGTCTAAAAGTAGTTAAAATTGTATTTTGAATATTCCCCCAATAGCGTTGTACATTCTAAAATTATATTATCATTTTATTATTGTTTGCAGATATTAGTCGTGTTTAAGTTCGCCAGCAAAATAATTATATAGACAAAAATTGCATGCCATTTGACAGGAGGATTCTATCATTCTTGACAAATGGTTGCAAAGTAGAAAATTGGACTACAAGATAGTGTATAAGGGACATGTTATTCTCGAATATATTCTCAACTTACATTATTATTAGCATTTTATTATCATTTGCAAACATTGCATAAGATCCTGACAGTTAAACTATCGGTCCCGACATGAGGTTTCTGTCATTCTCGACAGTTGGTTGCGAGCAGAAAATGTAACTACAAATAAGATGCACAAGGGTAAGCTGTTGCATAACATTTGGTAAAGACGTTACTATAATTATCCCTAACAAAATTATAATACATAAGTTAACAAATTTTATCGTGCTAATTGAACAATCCAACGAGTACGAGAAGCTATAAATGATAAAATGTGTCATCACATGTGGATGCAACCACTAAATCATTTTTATAACCACATTTTTGGAGGTAAGCAAAATGAGGTCATTGATTACACAAATCAATTCTAATATAGTATTAACAAATTTGGCCACACTATTTCTTTATTCTTTTTCTCCTCCCCTTGGTGTATGGAGTCCTAGTAGATGCTGCAGGAAATCAAATGTGTGTTGATCATTGCTCTTTGTGCTTATAACATCGTTACTTTCGATGGGTATGGTGGTCGCCTCCGTCACGTTACAAGTTGAGGGAACTTTTTCGTTGTTCGGGCATGACACTTTGAGCTCTATGGATTCTCCATCTATTTGAAAACAACATTTACAACACTAACCGATATGAGTTCATTATTTCCAGTTTGCAAATTACGGAATGAGATAAGAGTATTTAAAATTTTGAATTCCTCATAATTAACACATATATTGTTCGTCTCTTAGTTCTCACTAGGCAATAGACCCTCATGATTATTGGAGCACGGGTTGATGCATCCTCCATCTAATTGAAAACAATAATTATAATACTAATGGACATGAATTCATTCTAGTTTGCATATTACGAAATGAGACAAGTGTATTTAAAATTTTGAATATTTTAGATATTAATGCTAAATACACGTATAAGAGATCAAAAAACAAACTATAATGTTCAAAAAATACTGCCTTTAATTTTTGCAGTTTATATCGAAAGATAACTCATCTGTCGAGAATAACTGAAACGAATTGTCAGGAACGACAGTTTATCATGACAGATGGCTTATATAACTGATCTTTTGAGAAGGTCTTGTGTCGAGAATTCATAACTGTACAAACTTCTATTGTGACAAATTAAACAGTTCGTTTAGAAGATTCGATACCCATACATAACCTAGAAAAATATAATAAATAAAGTAGGTTGGAATGACAAATATAATACAATAATCAGCTTTCACAAACCAAATAAATTCAGAGAAATATGAAGTAAAAAATTGACAGAATGTGAAATATTTTTTTTAGAAAAATATAAAAAAAAATTCATACATAAAACCAAAAAAATTAGAAAAATCAAAATGCCAAAAAAAATATGAACCCCCCAAAAAATGGAGAAATTCAAATTACATGTAAATGTATACTCTAAACAAAGCCGAATCCAAAACAGAGAACAATCAAACTCACAGTCTAGATGTAGAAAACTCAAAATTAATTGTGCAATCTAAGATAAAGACAAATAAGAAAAAAACAAAAAAGAACATTAATAAATAAATAAAAACTTGAAACAGAACCTTTAATCAATCTAAAAAAACTCATATATTCGAAATCTTACCTACAATATTCTTCTTCATCCTGTATTGACCTAATAAACAGGATCTTAATGCAAGAACTTGTACTCCATATAGTTTTCAAAGAATCAAGAGAAGAAACATAGAAAAGAAAAAAGAGAAATTTTGCAAAGAAACGTACTGGAGAGATAAAAATGAATGAGTTAAAAGTTAATAAATTTTTCTCTTATATATATATATATATATATATATTGTAAGGATTTTGAAGTATAATTTTGAGGTGATTGATTGTCACATTTTCTCTTATATTGTCAACTCAAAGATGTGTAGGGTATTTGAATTTTTAAGAGGGACAAAAATGTCCAAAATTGACAATTTTGAAAAGACTTTTAAAAAGTGACATTTTTGTAAATGTAAAGTCAAAAATTGACTATTTTAGTAATTTCCTCTATTATGATATTAGCTTATTTCAATTTTTTTGGTCAAACTGCAACTTAAATTTGATATATAGCCTTCTCAAATCAGTCAAAATTGACACTAATTTAATTAGTTGACCCCTAATTGTAGAGAGATTCGTTCGTGAACATATGTAGCCAAATGGGCAAGGGATGAACCCAAAAAGAATTTAGCCACTGTATTTTTTGTTTCGAGAAATTCGCAACTTGAATATAATGAAGAGAAGGGATGGCCTAGTCACAAAAAGAAATAGAGGGCTAGGGTTTGTGCTAGTCGAGGGATTAGATTTGTCCACCAAGTGACTTACAAGTTCTTGTGTCCATGATAGTAAAATATCCAAAACTTTAATTTGAATAGAGTAAGACCCCGTTTGGGAGTGATTTTTCATCCAAAAAATTTGATTTTTTTTATCGTTATTTCACTATTCTAATCGTCATTTTTGATTTTTTCTCTTATAGATGGCCTCCACTTTTTTCTCAACGATCAAAAAATCAATTCTCAAAATCACTACTAAATAAGCCATAATATTATTTATATCACTAGTGCTAAGCACCGTATGTAACTCATTAATTCATTTCTAGATGGTCTAACACAACTAAAGTTAGATAGCACTATTCATTTGAATAGCATACACCTTTTTAGCTGGTTTAATAAAAAAATAAATAAATAAATAAATAAATAAAAAATAAAAAAAATGGAGGAAAATTTAAAAAATTTTGGACCCTTATTGCTGGTTTGCCAAAATCTCGTGTACTAAGCGGTCCTTTCTAAACTATACACGCGGACTTTAGCCTGTTCAGTTTTTCTCTGCTTGGTCGAAAGAGGTCAAAGGAGGTTGGAGGGGCGGCGGCGCCGGGCACCACCGATATGTATACAATCCCATTTCATGGGCTTCTTTCCGTTTTCACGATACAGAAGTTACAGTACGATCAAAACCCCTCTCTCCAAATTCACACAAACGGTCTCGACCTCACTCTTCCCTTCAAATCTCACAAGCTTATTCCCCGAACAATCCACCACCACCACTTCCGCTGCCGCTGAACCCAACAAAAATGAAGATGATATTCATCATCAAAGGGTCAAACCCACCAAAAGCAAGAAAGCCCGAAAAATGGCCCTGCTTATCAATGCAAAGCCCTGGTCAGCCCAGCTTGAATCCTCCCTTTCCACCCACACTCCCCTCTCCGAGACCAGCTTCCTTCAAACCCTCCGCCTCATCAAGTCCCCTGCCAACGCCCTCCAATTCTTCAACTGGTCTCGTAACACGGGTTTCACTCACAGCGAGCACTCCTACTTCTTCATGCTCGAAATTCTTGGTCGGGCCCGGAACCTCAATTCCGCTCGAAACTTCCTCCTGTCTATTCCAACAAAATCCAACAATACTATACCACTCACTGACAAGTTTTTCAACAGCTTGATTCGGAGCTATGGTAATGCCGGGCTTTTCAAGGAATCAATAAAGTTGTTCGAAACCATGAAATCAATGGGTATTTCGCCTTCTACATTTACATTTAATAATTTGTTTTTTATTTTGCTCAAAAGAGGTCGGACTGGAATGGTTCTTGAGTTCTATGCTGAAATGCTTAGGACTTACGGTGCGAAGCCCGATTTATACACGTTTAATATATTGATAAGAGGGTTTTGTATGAACTCGAGGATGGATGATGCATTTAGGTTCTTTAAAGAAATGGAGTTGTTTAATTGCAAACCGGATTTGATAACCTATAACACGATTGTTGAAGGGTTGTGTAGAGCAGGGAAAGTGACAATTGCGCACAATGTGGTAAAGGGTATGTGTCTAAAGGGAGAAAATTTGATGCCGAATGTTGTTACTTACACCACTTTGGTTAGAGGGTACTGTAAGAAGCAAGAAATTGACATAATGTTAGATCTATTGAGGGAAATGGTTGATAATGGGATTAAGCCAAACGAGATCACTTATAATACAATTATAAATGGGCTTTGCGAAGCCCAAATGTTTGATAAGATAAAAGATCTGTTAGAAGGGTGGCGTGGAGAGCCTGGAGGATTTGTGCCTGATACATGCACTTTTAACATAGTGATGAATGCTCATTGCAAAATGGACGATTTGAGTGAAGCATTTAAAGTTTTTGAGAAAATGAAGGAGCTAAAGGTCCAACAAGATTCAGCCTCGTACAGTGTGCTAATCCGGGGTTTGTGCCAGAAGTTGGATTTTGGGAGGGCAGAAGAGTTGCTTGATGAGTTATTGGCAAAGGAGATTCTGTTATGTGATGATGGGTGCACTCCCCTTGCTGCTGCGTACAATCCCATTTTTGAATATCTTTGTCGAAACGGGAAAACGAAGAAAGCTGAGCAAGTTCTCAGGCAGCTAATGAGTAGAGGAATTCAGGATCCTCCGGCATATAGAACTTTGATCTTGGGGCATTGCAAGGAAGGGACCTGCATAGCTGGGCACAAGCTCTTGGTCTTGATGTTGAGAAGACATTTTGTGCCTGATCGTGAGACTTATGACTCCCTGATTGAAGCTTTGTTGCAAAATGGTGAACCAACCCTTGCCCATGATACTTTAAAAAGGATGTTGATAAGCTCATATCTTCCTAGATCATCTACTTTCCATCGTATTCTCACGGAACTTGTCAAGCTGGGTTCTGCTCTTGAATCTGCTAGCTTAGTGATATTAATGTTAGAGAAAGAGATCAGACAAAACATCAATCTGTCAACAGACACTGTTAAGCTTCTCTTCATGCGTGGCTTACGGGATAAGGCATTTGAGGTGACTAGAAGTCTTTATGAGAGTGGTTATGTTTTGAGTATGGAAGAATTAATTTCATTCCTTTGTGATGGCAGAAAGTTGATGGAGGCATATGAATTGGTTGGTTTTAGTCTGAAAAATGATCATAATATTGACGTGGCTATATGCAGTACTGTTTTGACAAGTCTTTGTAAAGCCCATAAAGCATCTGAAGCATTTGACCTTTACTATAAGATGATAGAGAAGGGAATTCAACAACCTTTGGGCTGCGTAGAAGACTTGAGAAGTATTCTTGAAGCTGAAGGGAAATTGAAGGAAGCTGAATTTGTTACTAAGAGGATGCCAAGTCCATCGCAGTTGGATGGATCTGGTTAAGACTTGAGGTTTAAGCTGAGATTTTGATACTTGTAGTACTTTCGTTTCTATCACTTTTCTTTATAAGGAGTTGCACAGCCCTTTGTAATTCTTTCTGCGTTCTCTTGCTGGCCGTTGATCAAGAATCTTTTAGATGTACTAATCATCTGAAAACCACACATGTATGTTTTTCAAGCAGGATTATATGTTAGAGACTATTTACATAACGTGAAATTATGTGGGTCGGGGGTAGGTTTATGGGTCAAACCCTCCCAAACCGACCCAGTCCTAAATAAAAAAATGTGAAACTATTCTGCAATCAAGCGTGAAGATCCTTCTTTCACTCACAACGTTGAAACCTAGCCTGCCTTGTGGCGAAATTGGCGGCCACTGATCTGAAAGTCACCCCTATTCTTATTTCTTTCAAGGTAATTTCTCAACTTTCTCATATTTTCAAGATAATTTACTGGATTTTTACTACATTTTCTGTCTAATTCTGATTGAATTTAGAGCCATAAATAATTAAAGAGCCATAGAATTCTATCTATTGGGTTTATTATATCCCAGTTGATTGGCTTCAAGATTTCAACAACCCAGTTTAGAAACTTGCTCCAAGCCCAATGTCCATTCTTTTCAAGTCTTCCCTCCAACCTATTACTTGTAATCTGTGTGTCTTTTTTGACGTTAAAGATTTTATAATTCTGTTCTCTTTCATTCTATTTTGGGCCATTTTTGTTTGTGTTGATACGGGTAAGCTAATACTAATTAAACTTGAGTGAATGTTATCCGTAACATAGAAGATGATTGTACTGAAATCTATGTTCTAAATGTGCTGTAACTTGTTTGGGTAGAAAGTTTGCACGGGAGTTTGGGGTTGAGTTAATTTGGTAACCCAAGATATGTAGCAATGAACTAGTGTTAATGTGTATCAAGTTGGTTTCAAAATTATATATCTTGCACAATTCAGAATTGTATGGTGCAGTCTGAACTCTGTATGACTCGCAGCCGCCTACAAATTCCTTAATAACTTTTTTAGGAACACCAAGATGCAACAAATTGTGTCCAGAAAACCATCCGTACTTTGTATGACCCTTAGCTGCTTTTTGTTGGTTGGACTCAATATTCGAGTATAAGCATGCTGCAAATAGTGACCCAATGATTACGATTGATCTCCGTGAGATAACATGTTTCCACCTATTTTTGCAGTTACACTCTTAAGAATAAAACATGGTTGGACTTTTATTAGCATTCAATGCTTCTGCTTTGTGTAACAATCTGGGCCTGGCAATGTACTTCTACGGGTAGCAATG